CCCCTGAGCCTAAGCCTAGCCCAGAACCCAACTGGGCTACCCAGTTGGGTTACAATTAGGCCATTCCAAGATGCATAATTCTGCTGACTAACTTAAATAAAATACTGTTATTTACACCCGTTCCAGTCACCTCTGTGGTTTAGATTGATATATAATCCTTAAACATACGAAATTTTAAGTATTTCAGCTGTCTCTTAATAAATCAACACTGGTAATCATCTATTATCTCAGTCTTAAGATAATATTATCGTGTTGTGGTGGTTAATAAGCTACATCCATAAAGGTACTCTTTATGACTGTGGAAGTATATTTAAACTACAGAGTATAGTAGGTGTATCTTAATCAGACTATATTAAATTACTTCTTTCTTTCAATATACTATCTATTAATCAGGGTTTAGTATTAATCTAATCATTCGACTTCTATTAAGTAGAAAAACATTTTTATTAGTCACTTACACCCTTTATTTTACTATAAAACTATTGTATAAGGGATACTTCATAACGCTCCAGGAGCAGGTCAAGCCATACTGCATGTAGGATGTCGAATGTTAGGTCGTGTCTAAGGTGGACGCCAGTTCACCTAAGGGAGAGACGGATAGTGAGAAAGGTGATATTATTCATTACCGAGCTAAGACTAAGATAACTGAGAAGAAGAGATGGTAGGAAGAAGGATCTCCTATACCTGGCGACAATGTTATTCTATAGAAAAGCTCGAACTTAGAAGAATATCGAAGAAAACTGGGCTTTCTGGATATTATGGGCCTGTTCCGGAACATGTTCCGGGTGATCTGTTAGGTAGCCTAAAAAACCCATCAGTGATAATGAAGAAGATGATGACCTGGAGATTAGTATAGACCGACCGGCTACTCAGCAGCTATCTAAGCGTGCTCAGGGCAAGAGACGAAGGAGTATGGTATCTAATGGGGAGCAAGAGGGCCAGGAACTTATTCCGTCTGATGATGAAGTGGTTCTTCCTTTACCTGACACGCAACAGCGTATCTCTGGAAGGTCTTATAAGTAAAGTAGTATATTAATCTTAAGATTAAGCTATCTATATATTATTATAAGTATCTAGAGGTTTTTAGCTATAAATAAGTTAATAAGCTACTATTATACTAGCTAGGGGTAGACTACTATATTAAACTACTTAAGGGTCTAGATAGTAAGAAAGCTAAGCTACTATAGGGCCTATTATATAGTATATTATATAAGGAGCTACTTATACTATATAAGATATTTATAGAGCTGCTAAAGAAGAATTTTATATATATTAGTAGCTTATTAGCTATAGCCCCTATACTACTTATATATAAACTAGATAGAGGCTTATATTTCTATATTAATTACTAAATATTAAATATTATTATAAAAAAAGATTACTATCTCCTACTATTAATTAATAAGATATTAGAATATATTATAAAGATAAAGTAGTTTACTAAGCTAGATATTATTATTATATTCTATAAGATTTATATTATACTAGATAATAAATGGCTAACTATATTCTAAACCTAATTTGTTGAAAAAAAGAAACCGAAATCTTAAAGTGCTTCTATCCATTGGGGGATGGACATATTCTCAAAATTTTGCTATACCAGCCGCCACAGACGCAGGGCGGAAAACATTCGCTCAGAGCTCCGTGAAGCTGCTCCAGGATCTGGGGCTGGATGGGCTAGATATTGATTGGGAAGCAAGTTATACCGCTCTCTCCTTTCCGCGTTACGTGGACTAATGGAAGGATTCCACTGTAGTATCCTAAAAATGATAGAGAGGCGAGTGATTTTGTTCTACTTTTACAAGAACTAAGGGCCGTACGTTTCTCCTCCTTTCTCCTCCCGCGCAACTCACAGAGGCCGGTTTAATTTTTAACTAGGCACTTGACAATTATGGCGCGAAGCATGCTGCTGGGGCAAAGTTCCTTCTTACAGTGGCGTCCCCCGCTGGTAGGTGACAAGACGGTTCCGACAGTGATATGGCATGGATAGCACGGAGCGCTTCCTAACCCATATCTAGATCCGCAAAAGATCAGTACTCTTCATCTTAGAGACATGGACCCCTATTTGGACTTCTGGAATCTTATGACTTACGACTACGCAGGAGGTACCTTTTCGGAGTACACTGGGCATCAGGCAAATATATTCAAGAGTAGCTCTAACCAGCAGTCCACGCCATTTAATACCCAAGAGGCAATCGACAGCTATCTTAATGGAGGAGTGATAGCGAGCAAAATTGTTCTGGGTATGCCTCTTTATGGCCGGGCGTTCGTGAATACTTTGGGACCTGGCAAACCCTTTTCTGGCATAGGAGAAGGTAGCTGGGAGGATGGTGTCTGGGACTATAAGGCGCTGCCGCGGCCAGGGGCCGAAGAACACACAGACGCCAATATAATAGCCAGCTACAGTTACGATTCAGAGCGGACCTTTATCAGCTACGATAACCCTCTGGTTACAGAGTTCAAAGCGGAATACATCAGGCTAAACGGGCTCGGAGGTGCCATGTAGTGGGAGAGCAGTGCGGACAAGTCAGGAAATGATAGTTTAATAACGACAGTATGCTCTACCTTCTCTCTACTTGATGGCGCTGACAGATTCGCAAGGTCGTTGAAACACTCGGGGGCGCTGACACTTTTGAGCAAAAATAGAATCAGCTGGATTACCCTCTTTCCCAATACGACAATATACAGGGGGGAATGCAAGACTAGTAACAATTAAAGATCAAGCAGAAAAGGGAACAAGCAAGACAAAGCAACCTTCATCGCAGACAGAGCTCTACTTAGATCTATATTAGAGGGGCGGTATATATAGTGATCAGTAGTGCGTTAACACATTTAAGTACCTGGCGCCCGACTCTCATGGAAGACAGAGAACGACTGGCTTCTAACTTCATTAGCTTGACGGGGGCATTACCATAGCTTGGAAAATTTCCCTTTTGAATCTAGTATTTAAGTGCTCTCTATTGTGCAATAGTGTTATAGACTTCTACACAACAGTAATAACTCATTCCGATGAATGCCAGGAGATGATTGACCTGGCAGTTTAGCTGAAGTTGTGCGTTCACTAAACTTTACGCCATTCAACAATAAAAGGATTAAAGTTCGTCATTAAGCCGTGCCAGAGGCAATTTACTCCTTGTCTTCACAAGCCTTTCTGAAATGCGTGATTACTTTAGCTAAGAAAACTCAAGAGCAACCATCAGCATAGGACTTTCTGGGAAAGCTAAACAGCCGGCTCACTGGTGTTGTTTAACCCTGATACGGGTTGAGCGTGTCCTGTCCGGGCTCCCAGGGGTGATGATTATTGCTAGATACCTCTGCTTTCTCTGCAGTGATATACTCTGGTAGAATCCTTCTCATTGCACGCTAAATAAGGTCAATGTAAGACATTTCTACGGAGCGAAATTCCCACGTTGCACAGAAATGAAATAGAACAAATTCAATGAGGCTAATCGTGTGCAATGGAAAGGTAGAAAAAGAAAGAGCATTAAGTAGTAACACCCGTGCAGTGACTGCCGTATAGCAGACTACGTGGAAGGACTACATCAGCCGTCAGGCCATAACCTCCTAAGAATTACACTACTATCGTTCCGTCCTAGCGAGACAATTTTGCGCACCCCTGCCTTCTGTGCGATGTACTTCAGTGTCTTCTTATCAATTGTCCTAATCACAGGGAGAGGGCACGCCTCTGCTGTCTTCGCCCACTTTTTAGTGCGTACCGCTCCTAAAATCCTCATCCCCTATTTCTGACCACGTCCTAGCTATCCAACTCGGCTAACTTCACAAGTACCAATTGGGCAAATCACATGAGATTGGCCCAAGATGCCCAGATAGACGCCTTCACATTGAATATCGCGGCAGGGGACGCGATTAACGCTCAATCAATACAACTGGCTTTCGAAGCGGCCCAGAGCGCGGGGTTCAAGATTTTCTTTTCCTTTGACTATGTCGCCCGCGGGCCATGGAACCAACATGACGTGACTGAGTTGTTATTGAGATATGGAGTGAATGAGGCTCACTATTGGAACAATGGCCGTCCGTTAGCATCCACCTTCGAGGGCTCAGAGAACACAGAGGAGTGGAGAAATATCAAAGCCAGCACAGATTGCTTCTTTATTCCCGACTGGTCCTCACTGGGAGCCAAGGCAGCGTTGGAGAAGGGCTACGGAATTGTGGATGGGCTCTTTAGCTGGGCTGCCTGGCCCTCGGGTCCGCAAGATATGAACACGCAGGTGGACGTATCCTATCTAAAACTCCTTAACGAATCGGGGGGTCTGGCCTATATGATGCCGGTATCTCCATGGTTCTATACCAATTTGCCCGGGTACGACAAGAACTAGCTTTGGCGCGGGGACGACCTCTGGCATGATCGCTGGCAAGAGGTCTTGTCTGTCCGCCCAGAATTCATGGAAATCATTTCATGGAATGACTACGGTGAATCCCACTATATCGGACCGCTTCACGAAGGCAGGTATGAACTATTCAGAACCGGCAAGGCTCCATTCAATTACGCGGAGGACATGCCGCATGATGGATGGCGGACCCTACTGCCATTCATTATCAGTACTTATAAGAATGGCCATGCTGCAGTGAAACAGGAGTTGTTGGTAGTATGGTATCGCACAACACCGGGAGCTGCCTGCGGTACTGGTGGAACTTCGGCAAATACGCATAGTCATGCGCAATTTGAATTCAGCCCTCTAGACATCATGGCTGATCGCATTTTTTACTCCGCCTTACTCACGGAATATGCCACGGCTGAAGTAATTATCGGTAGCGCCACGCAAACCAGGACTTAGAGAAACAAACCACCTAGTGGTCAGGGCATCTATCACGGGAGCGCGCCATTCGATGGGGCGACGGGGGATGTAGAAGTGACTTTGTGGAGAGAAGGCAACAGAATCTTAACATTGAGAGGCAAGGCAATTTCTGGGAGCTGTCCCAATGATGTTCAGAATTGGAATGCCTGGGTGGGCAGTGTCCAGTCGCCCGGCTAACTCAATCACTCGGCCCGAGCTTATGAGCCAATCGCTCTGTATCAGTGCTAGAAGACTAGGTATGGTGGCTCAAGCTCAGCGTCCTGGTGAAACTTCCATCAACTCTGATCATGTCTAACGAATTGTTTGGCTGCCTGCATGGAGTTCTAAATAAGTACATGCCCAGCTGACCATGCTTGATTCCTCCTACAGGCAAGCATCTATGAGCCATAAGTTGCATTATGTGGAGAGTCAGTTGTTGTCTTAGATAACTATATGGAGATCGCTTATACTCTTGCAGAGACAGGACGGGCTGCGGCCACAGCAGTGGCCCTAGTGTAGGTTCGTTATCAAAAGAGCCAGTTGACGTGAAAGAGCTGATTCTGAAAAAGCACAAGCACAGCCATTAGTGGAACCACAGCTGTTAATCGCGCGCCCATCTAGCCGGCTCAGATGAGCAATAGTGCGTATTTAGAAGTAAATGGGCGCGCGCCGCAGGCTGGGACATGTCTTGACCGAATTTGACCAACCGCGTAGATTCGGTAAGTGGTGGTTGGCTTCCAAAGACATCTGGTACGCGGTGCAGATGAGAAGACCTTCCATGATCTTCTCTATGGAGTCTTCGAGAGATCTGATATTCTCAATTCGTATAGAAAGCCAAGCCGCATCCGCCAATCCCAACGCGCGAACTGTCGACAAGAAATCCCACTGCAGTTAGCTTCTTAATTTCAGGCCCACGTTGTTCGCGTGACAAATTGACAAGACATCGGTCGTCCATTACTGGACCTTGGTCGCTAACAGTTCGTAGTCCTGTTTTCCGTACCAGTCAACTGACAGCCACTTCGATTCCTGGACGAATAACGAGAACAAAATCACGCAGTGGGAACAAGTCCGGCGTCCGGATCCTGGTCCCGACGATCTCATCCTTCCCCATACGCTCCACCGTTCATTGCAGCCTTCTAGTAAAGAGAGTTTGCAGCCTTCCAGACCGTTTTTCTACTCATCTAAATACATAATACTGTAACGTGGCAAGCTGCCAACTCTGTAACCTTTTATGAGGAGACTTGGATGCCTTCATCCCTTGCTTTTGGCACCGAGAGGTACATTGCTAATTAACGCCTTACAAAATAAGAACAATCACTGCTTTGCAGGAAACCTTCCTGTCACTGTCGCAACTGGAGAAACACCGATCGCCCATTATATGTTCCCATCATTTCAGTAGTTATACTTGTTTTCATCCGATTGACTGCAAGACTAGTGGGTAAATCAATATTTTAGCTGCCGTAATTTTCCAAGATAGAAATGATGCCGGATTCAAGGACAGCGTCATTCGTGAGCTCAAAGTTTAGAAAGTCTCTGACAAGATCGTGAAAGGAGATCTGCAACCGGAGCTTGTCAATACAATATGCAGAGTATTGGCTCAGCCAGTCTAATATAGAGTCATGCTCATGGAGTACTCGGTCAAACCCTTACCGTCTGAGAAACCCGCAGCATCGGTTAGAGACGCGCAAATGCTGCTGAGGGAACTGTTCTCTTCTTCAATCAAGACGCAGACTCCTTCAGAGGGACTCATTATCAATCTTCCCCTCCTGGGTCAGCTATCGATGACCCTACCGGAGGACTTTCCTATTGAAAGACAAAAGAGTCTCTATTCTTCTCGGGACATAGATCATCGACAGGTAGGCACTTGCCTGTCCATGACCAGCACAGCAAGGATTATCCTTGTGTCGGGAAAGAGTGCGTCGGAATCCGTCATATTTGACTCATTCTTTCCCAAAGGCTCTTCACTCAGCGGCGTTGCCCAGTCGAGACTCATATTCCAGCTTGCGCCAATTCACAGAGTCTTTCATCACTCTAAGGAGATGTCCCAGATCGATCCAAATTTCTCTACAGCAGACAGTCAGTTGGAAATCTCGCTGAAGGATGATGTTCTGGGCGTTGTTACTCTGGCGTTGCAGTCGAACTCGACAGGTCTCTTTACAGCTCAGCAAAAGAGCGATATCAATCTGACATTCGACGTTGATGCCATGGAAGTTTTCACTTATGAGGGAGAGTTTGTCCGGGTTGACACTTTTGAATAGTTCCCATCTTATACGTCCTTTTGCTCTTCGCAGACATCCTTGACCGACACGATATGAGTCCCTGTGAAAGTAACACTGAAAATACTTGCTTTTAAGACTATGTAGGAATGTTAATCTGTGATAGGTCTCTAGAGTTATCGAAAATATGACATAGACACATCACTTTATGCTTCCGGGGCTCGAGATGTCGTGCCATTCGAAGGTGAAGTGTGCCTTTGAGGCGACATCCTGGCAGATGTTCGCATACTCTTTTCATGAGGTCCTCCAGCTAAACCGAACAAATTCTTTATAAGAAACCCTAAATCAGGAATGGTCGGCAATATAAGCGCTGAGTACCAGCAGCGTATTTCAGGATAGTCCCGCATGCGTAAAACAGCTTTGCGCCTTCATCGTGGGCTACCCTTGGTGTTATGAGCTAGTCCTTGGTGTCTCTTTGTCCTTGGTAGGAACATAGCTTCCTCCGTGGCTACCACGCTCGAAGGGCAAACTCCTGGTTTGTCCAGGAATGGTGGAGTTCTTAGACGACCCGTTCGAAGCGCCGGCGTTTTCACCGGAACTGGACTGATGTCGAGGCTGATATTTCGCACCTGGTGGGACGTATCCGCCCCCGTGTCGTTTTGGCCGAGGATCCTTCCGGAGTTATTTAGATGGGATGCATTGAGTGCGAGTATGTGGGAGACGGATATACCTGGCGAGATTCCACCATAGTGAACCAAACGAATCCAAAATCGGTGTAGGCAGTAACTGACGAGAATGGAACTCTGAATAACAATCAGGGAAAAGAGCAGGGAGCCTGGAGATTGAGACAGCAGGAGACTGATCACGAATTTGTTTTTTTGAAGGTGGACATTATTGGCAGATGAGTCGGGCACAATCCACCCTGACTCGCTCGCTGATCTACGGTCATGTCGTCAAAATACTACATTGCTTCTTGGCAAGGCAACTGAAGGCGCCAGGATGCAGCGAGGCTGAGTCCCAGTAAGCAGGAGGGTAGGACAAGGCTGTTTTCTGTTGTATCAGAGCGGTTGCTCGCCTCAGTTCAACAAGGAGACTGCGATTATTCGAAGAACCCAGACCCCATCTTGAGGAGTCGGGAGTTCCTGGGCACGGTCACTGGCTTGTTTTGCCTCCCCTCTTTTGTCATACATATATGCCATAAATTGCGAAACACATTCAAGTCAAGGGACATGGGTCATGGCCCCTTCAGCCTCGCGCACCAAGCTTCATACTGCCAGATGAGTGAATCGATCCATATTCCTGATGGTCGATCGGTTAACCTGTATCTGGATATTTCGTACGGAGTACTGCTATTATTATCAGACTACGGAGTAGCTTTGGGAAAATTCTTATTTCATCACATTCCCTTTTAGCGAGAGGAGTTATTAGGCGGGGGTACACGTCAACGATGCAGGGGTTATGCAGGGCATTCAGATAAAGAATACAGAGAGCAGCTTCAGCCATACATAATGAAGGCAGTGGCAGCCTTGCCCCTTCATTGTTCCCAAGGCCATGGAAAAGTACCGCATAGGGCAATAGTCGTGTTCCCCCAAGCTCTCTTCGTCCTAAATCAAGATCTTTTATATGATGGGCCACTGGGACTCTCTCTGCTTTTACTTTTAGAACTTTATCATAAGAGAGCTTCCACAGTCAGCTTCTCCCTGGAACAGAAGTGCAGTCTTCCTCCCCTTAGTCTTACAGCGTTGTTTCCCACACAGGATGCCGTCAACTAAAGATATTGTCGTTGTTACTTTTTACATAATCACTGATATCGCATTGCTTGCATTTCTTATCAGTTCATGTCTGATGAGAAGGCCGAGGCATGACCCTAAAGCGATTCCATTCAAAACGCTTTTCATCTGCCTTCTGAGTCGTATAATTTAAGTCTCTCTATAAGTCATGACTCTCACATACCCGGTCCTAAACGTTCTTGACTGATGAATTATTACAGATATATATCGATCATGCTATCTGAGGAACTATAATATGTTGTTGTCCCTTACAATGGCACAGAAATGCCGGGAAGCAGTAAAGCCAGAGAGATAGTGGGAAGTATTTGCTGGTATCTTCAGACTATCCTTACTGCGAATGTATTATATCGACTTATACGTGCATACAATGCGCGACGCCGCAATAGGGCCGCGAAGTTGATCCTTCTGTTGAGGGTGCACGGAAGCATTTTGGTAATCCTATTCATTGTTTCTGTCTTGTGCTTCATCGCCCAAGAGGCCGAAATCTTCAGCAAACAGATCTCCTATTATTACCTCTATATGGCGAGTGATGTCCTCTTTTTGACCGCTTCCCTGGAGATCATGTTCGAGATATACATGATTGTCTGGAAACAAAAAGATTCAAGACTCCCTTCGAAGGTAGGCCGTCCTGTAGTTTGCTATTGGATCGTTCAAATACTGATTGGCAATAGAACGGAGCTATCTCCTTCACGGTTGGGGGTACCTTCTTCTGTCTCCTCAACCTATCTCGGCTTGTTCTTGTTGATATTAAGAGGATCGATAATATGACGGCCGATTGGATTCCTGTAGCCACTGCTATATGCGTGATCGGCTTATACACAGGGATTATCCACTGTTGTATGCAGTGGCATAAATTAGGTCCCTATCGTCGAAGCAAACATTTGCCTACGGAAGATGAGAGGGCGCACATGCTTACTGCTTCTAATGAGGAACTGCACTCGGCATGAGCTGTCCAGCACACTTTTTTTTTTTTTTTTTTTTTTTTTTTTTTTTTTTTTTTTTTCTATTGGGAAATCTCGATTTTTTTTGTGTTTTGTTTTTTGGTTTTTTTTTTGAAAGAGGAGGAGGGAGAAATGGGGGTTTAGGGTTGTGGGGTTTTGGTTTTTATTTTTTTTTTTTTTTTTTTTTTTTCTTTTTTTTTTTTTTTTTTATCTTTTCCCGACCCCACCACACTAAGGGAAATACTTATTGGCGTTTGTTGCTTGAAAAAAAAAAATA